CCTGTGTCTCCACATGAGCTGTTACTGTTTTCTTGACTCTGAATTCAGATGTTCCTACACAAGCTCATACATAGTCCACTATTTATTGGGGGGGGGGGAAGAGGCTAAGGCACTAAGAGCAGTTTATATTTTACTTCTTTTTTTTCATTTACATTTTTAATTTTCCTTTTCTTTTAGACATTCAATCACATTATTTAGCTTACAAAGTGAATATTTCAACATGTGAACATGTCTCCCTAGTCCAGTTGATAAAACTACAAAATATCTTTAACAGATAATACCACTTTTCTTTATTTTCACTTGAACAGCTCCTCAATAAAAAAAAATTCAAGGAAGATCTAAAAGCCTGAGATCATCCAGATACTAGTAAAAGGTACCAGCATCTCAGATTTGAAGAAAATATACCCTAGCATTAATAGTCTATCTTTATGAGGTCCTAATGCTGACTTCTAAAATAATTTTAGTTCTTTTTCTCAGTGGTTTTTAACAAGAGAAAAACAGCAAATTTCTACCATGTGTTAATGAGCGAAGTACCTGATACAAATCCCTTTATATATGGGAAACACAGAATCCATGTTCTCCTAAGGATGCGTCTGAGGGCAGAGTGCCAGCTTCCTGGTGGCTTTTATAAGGCTAGGGTAGCTGTAAATAAAGACATTGATAATAGCGTGCTGGCCAGTTCACAGCCATAAGCCTTTAGCTTTATTAAGAGAGAGATGGGGTCAGATGATGGTGTACTGATAATGCAACTGATCCCACTTGAGATCCCGGGTCCACATCCCGGGACCTCCCTGAGCACTCCAGGTGTGCACACACACGCCTGTGATCCAGGCTTGCTGAGACTCAGAGTGGATGATGGCATGGAGACTCAGCTGTGAGTGCCTTTCTCTCTATCCCTGTCTCTCTAGTTCTTGGAAGAAATAAGTAAAGAAATAAACTTTATGAAGACATGGTTATAGTACCTCCTAGGGAAAAATTTTGGTTTTTATACCGATGCATCTGGGAAAGCCATCACAAGGAGAATTTCAGATATTTATCAAAGGCAAAAATGTGTATCTTCTCTCAGTATCTACTCCTTTCCTTCACAAGATGTGGAAACTAGCATCTGCTCATATTTTGTGCTGCCTCTAGGACCTATACTGAGGCTGGGTCAAATAAGCCATAAGTTATATGTGGCGAGGGTGAGGAACATTCACAACCACTTCCAGGTCAGGAGGAAATATCTAGACACTATAAACTATCCTAACCCTGAAAAAAAAATAAGATTAATGAAAAGCTGTCACCCCAAGCAAGGAAGGTCTTGGATTCATGTGGAGAGAGACAGTGAGTTATATGAAAAGTCTTAAAAGTTGGTGGGAAATATGTATTATGAAGAAACTATGCATGGATTTCAAAATTTGCGCCAAATAGACTTGTACTTTAATTTCATTTTTCTGTAAACTTTGTGAAGTATTTTGGTATATCTTTGAACCTGTCAGAAACCAAAGGAAGGTAGTTCAGGAAGAAATACAACTCCTTGCTACATCAGCCTGACAGAACAGGGAGACAAGCCCCTGAACAGTCCTTATTTCATGGCCATGGGTAGCCTTATTTCCTGTAACTTGCAAGTATAGCACTAACCCCAGATGTGATTGAGAAACTCTCATTGTTGACAAAATTTTTAAAGACATTGGGATAATGAATTTCTTTCTTTCTTTTTTTTTTTTTTTTTGAGAGAGAATTTTGCTATTAAGCATGTGTGCTCAGCAGAGAGACAGAAAGCGAGAAATCACCCCTCAGGGGGATGGCCATGCCACAGTCCCTTCTCTTAATCTCCTTTGGAATTTTGGGCATGCATGGCACACGTGCCTGCACAAGTTTTAAGCCTCTGGGTCTGGGACATGAACCACAGTCAACTAAGTGGAAGTCCAGAACATCGCCATTACACCATCTGCTGGTCCCCAGGATAAAGAATTTCTAAAGATGGGCCAGCAGGTGATGTAGTGACTGAGGCACTGGACTCCCATGTAGTCGATTGTGGTTCGGGTCCTGGATCTTGCAGCTTGAAACTCAAGCTGGGCATATGCGTGTGCATGCCCAAAATCCTAAGAGGAGAGTGGAAGAGAAGGGATTGCGGCGTGACCATCTACCTGGGGGGTGATTTCTCACTTTCTGTCTCTCTGTGTCTCTCCAGTGAGTACCCATGCCCTATAACAAAAATCTCTTAAAAAAACAATCATTTCTAAAGCAGTTGAATTTCCCAGAACACTGTGATTTAGATTTCCTGAGATGAAACATAGAACATAAACAAGACAGAAATCACTGATAAGAAACGTTACTTTATCTTTGCTGTTATTCTAAATATATTAGAATTTTTTGTTTTGTTTTGTTTTGGCCTAAATTCTCAGTATTTTTCACTAAAACCATTCTACATCCATTATGAAGAATGCACCTACAGCTTTGTTCTTTTTGCTTAATATGGCGTTAGCTATTTGAGGACTTTCTACGTGAAATTTAGACTTGTTTTTTCTATTTTTGTGAAGAATGTCATTGTTCCAGATTTTAGGAGAAAAGCTTTTAACTTTTCTCCATTTCATATGATGTTAACTATAGGTTTGTCAGATAGAGCCTTTATTGTGCTGAGGTACATTCCTTCTATATCTAATTTACTGTAAGTTTTATCATTAAGAGATGTTAAATTTTGCCAAATGCTTTTTCTGCATCCATTGAGATCATTATTTTTGTCCTTCATTCTGTTAATGTGATGTGTTAAGTTTATTGATTTATGTGTGTTGAACCAATCTTCATCCCTGTGTGAATATCACTTGATCGTGGTGAATAATCTTTTTGATATGTTGTTGGGTTCAGTGTGCTAGCTTTTTGTTAAGGATTTTTGCATTTCTGTCTATCAATAATAGGGTTGTAGTTTTCTTTTCTAGGGTGCCCTTATCTGATTTTGCTATCAGGGGAATGTGGTCTTACAGAATGAAACTGGAAGAATTCTTTCCACTTCAGTTTTCTGAAATAGTTTGAAAATAATTGGCTTTAGTTCTTTAAATGTTCAGGAGAATTCAACAGTGAAGCCACCACTTTTCTCTTGATGGTTTGCTTTTTAACTGATTTGTTCTTATTACTCATTACTAGACTGTTCATGTTTTTCCGTTTATTGGTTTATTTTATTTTATCCTATTTTTTGCTATAGGATGTGAATGCACTCACCAGAGAAAGACAAAGACAGACAGAAAGTGAAAAAGGACTCCTTGTGGGGCAGGGAGATGGCCATGCCACCATCCCTTCTCCTCCATTCTCCTCTCAGAATCTTGGGCATGCACGCACACGCACCTGGCATGAGTTTAAGCCACCGGGTCCGGGATTCAAACCGCAGTCAACTACATGGGAGTCCAGGGACATAGCCATTATGCCACCTGTTGGTCCCATGCCTGGTGTGTTTTAAGGCCAGCATGAGGATCTGAATCTACGGGTGGCTTTATGGCTCCTAGTACTGTAGTTCACCCTGCCACCAACTGTACCTCCAGGCTGGGCCTATGTGATTTCTTTAGATGTAATCAATGTCAGCATCGTCTTTGGGTGCCTCAGTGGCCTAGGCTGTCAGTGTTCATGGAGCAGTAGTGTAGTTTTCCTGTGGGCAGGGCCACAGGGTGGGCTGTTCCTCAGGCCCTGGAGGCAGGGAACAGGGCTGCCTAATGGGCCAGTCCTCAAGACCTAGGGGGTACAGGCCAAGCATGGCAGATGTTCTGGGTGGCAGGACAGCATTATTTGGGGGGTGGAGATGCTTGGAGGATTGGTCCTCAGGCTCTGGAAGGGGGCACAGGTTCCCCTAGTGTTGGAGGCACCTTCCCTACTGTGTATGACCACCTGTGCTCCACAGTGCAAGGTGCTGTGTGGGCTGGGTGCCAGGGTCATGGCTGTATCTCTGGTTCTAGTCAGGCTCATGGCTCTGTATCCTTTCATGTAAGTGTGCTAGAATGATAGTGGGGCCTCAGGGATGGGGGATGCATGGCTGCTGGCTCCCAGGGTAGGATACACATTTTAGCAGTGGCTTTAGTCTCAAGATGATGCCATGGCATAGCAGCTTGGGTCTTAGAGGACCGGGATGGGAAGACAGCTTGAATTCTTTCCCTGGAGCAATGTGGCTACAGCTCCAGAAACTGGGCCCAGAGCCTGTGAGCACTATAGGACATCCCTGCAGGACGACTGGTGTCTGCAACAGTAAGTGGGGCTGTTGGGATCTCCTGTATACCTCCTCCTTGCATTGGGGAGTTCTTCCTGGCTCCAGGCTGACCCTGGCCAGGGAGACAGGGTCACCAAAGTAAGGTGCTTCACTCCTCTTTTTACGCTTCCATCCCGAGTTCTGTGGTTCACAGGGTTCCCATAACCCCCTGGCTGAGTTCCA